AAATACGAAGTGACTATTCGAATTATTTAAATTTGTGAATCATTTATACCATATTACAGTGCGTTCGTCATAAAATGCCTAGGCAGAATATTTCTCACTCTATTCCATCAGAAAGGAAAGAGAACGATGAAGTTTCGTTCGAGTAACCTTCCAGTTCTGTTTGTTTACAATTGACGTTTAATGAGCCGTGAGAGTATTCTATTTCACTCTGCCTCGACCTTTCCGTCACCTCGTCCTCGGCCAACAATGACACCAAGAAAGATGGAATGGGATACACTTTGCCTCTGACGAAAACGCTATGTTCGTGAATCGTGACTTATATAACAACATATTCCTCTTTGGAATCGTTTGAAACATTGAAATGATAGAACCGGACACCAACAATAAGAATTAATAAATTGGAACGATTCGAGTCGAGTTACGATGTACAGCCTGTACAGAGCTTGGTTCGGCGATACCGTTACAGCGGACAATTATTCGCGGCTTCAAGAAAGCTTGTCGCCACCCGACACGGTGGTGAGAGTCGGGAACGAGGGCGAGCACCAGTTTGTCGCCCACAAAGGTGTCTTGGCCGCTCACAGCGGTTATCTAAAAGCTTTGCTCACGAACGCGGCGACGACACCTAATTCGGGCGTGAGCGCGAATATTAACTCGAATGTAACCGGTAACAATTTGTCGGGACAATCAACGAGGCAGCCAGTCACATCTGTCTCGGTTTCATCTATTGGTAAATATCGTTACGTGAATTATTGGTATTCCGATTGGCCTCTCGAGTTTGTTGGAAAGAATTATATTTTGTTTAATTTTGACGATGATGAATAATGAAAAAAGCAAAATGAAGTTTAATTTTAAAATTCAATGATTAAAAAGAGAATGTTATATCTAATATCGCGATATTATTTTTCTTCCCCGTGTTATCGTCAAATATATTGCATTTTTCGAATACCTATGTTTGTTTGTAAATAGATTAAAAGTTTCTTTGGAATAAACGAATATAAACAAATAAAGTATCACCAGTACAACATCAAAAGTAAACGTGATGTAACTTAGCGTTAAAAAAAACTTTGAAAAATATATTCGCAAAAAAATAAACAAACAAACGAATCCAAACTTGCAGGTGGAGAAGCGTTCGCGCCATTGCTCAACTACATGTACACAGGCCGGTTAGAAGTGACGTTGGACAACGTGTACAGCGTCTTATTGGCCACGCATTTGTTGCATATGCCAGGGGCACTAGAACAATGCAGAGCAGCGTTGCTCAGGCTGAGGGCACCTCCGCCATTGCCAACGCCGATCCCAGTTCCGGCCGGACCGACATCCACGTTGACGTCCACGCCACCCACCGGCAATATACTTAGACCGATACCGAGCAGATTGATGATAGATCCGACCATATGCTGGCCACCGACCGCTCCTCTATACCCACCGAGTGCACCGCCATCCGCCAGTATCGGTATACCGCATTTATCCCAACTACAACCGTCGGTTCTCATGCAATCCACCGTCCCGCTCGGCGTCTCCGCCATTCCGTCCTCCAGTATACAACAAACGCACACGACGGCTTATAGGTTTGGATCGCCATTTTTTTCGAACATGCATGTGCACACTGTTCATCCACGAGAACATTTTGACGATCACGAAATAGGGATATTCTCGTGGACAAACAGTGCAGGTATAATGATTTTGAAACATAATTGAGATTTCATTTGGATGTCAATGGATTTCTAAATTCTGTTTATGAATGAAAAGTATAAAAAAGTATTTAAAAAAGTGGCTTTCCTCACTTTGAAATATAAAAATTTCTGCTAACAGGGACGTGCCATCGCCAAAATCATCGTTGTTCCAAATTGAGCGAAATCGCGGGTTAAGAGTGGAGTCGAGGCCAAAATCGCCAGAGAATGTGTCGTCGAGCACTCTCCCGTTCGTGGCCGCGGCAGCAGCAGCGTTCAACGCGTTTACAACGTCGAACGCAGCCACGTCTACAAGAACATCATCTCCCTGCCAATCGATCTCTCCCACGCCATCGTCCACTTCACGATCATCGGTGCCTCCATGTCACAGCGGCAAGAAACCGATCGACCATCAACGAGAGACGAAGGAAGAAGCCGACTACGAACATCCCGCCACCAACTCGAGCAACAACCGAACGAACGATGCCCGATCCTCGCCCCCTCTCACGCCTGTGGACGACTCGACCGCGGCTCGTAACAACAGAAACACAGAGCCAGTGTCGTCAGAGAATGACAGAGGAAGATCGAGGCGAAGGGGGCGCGGCTCGACTGGAAACGATAATTCGTCGAACGTTTTATCGGTAGTTTATGACGTGGCGTGTTGCGACGGTCCAGTGAAGTTTCATCGTGTACTGAACGAGAATTACTCATCGTCCTCGTGTGGACCTAGCGCGATGCCACAATCTCGTTTGCAGAGACCGTGTTTCGAGGAGAATGACGGTTCCGGGGAGAACGGGGAGAACGACGAGAACGGTGGACCAGGGGGGGGAGGCCCTTGTGACCCGATCGAGGCTGGGATGGATACGGGCAATGGTGGAAGTTATACTTGCGGATACTGCAGGCACACGTTCAAGTCGCAGTATTGTTACAGGAAGCACACAAAGAGGCATTTGTTACCGACCAGAGTGAACGAGTCGATCGGTAACAGGCAGAGACAGCAAGATACCGGTACTAGGAACAGGAGAGAAGTGAGACTGTTGGACTTGAACGTGCAATATTATCCTTGCAAGATTTGCGGATGCAAGTTCCCGAGTTATTATTTCGTGCACAAACATAGGAAATTGTGCCACGCGAACACAGAGGAGAGGGCGCAGTCGGACGAGGCCAATAGTACGGTAACGGAGGATCAGGAGTCGACTACTTCGACTACGAATAACGAAAGACAGTGAGAGGAGGTTTGTGTATGACTTAGTTGAAAGAGAAGATAAATTTAACGGACGATTGAACAGAATTATTGTGCAGAAGTTAATAATAAGATGTGTTTAGTTATATTGAATGAAATGGAAAGATGGAAATGAATAAATGAAAGTGAATGATATTAAGATGATAGACACGTTTGTCTAAAAAAATAATTCTTTAGATTCTTTGTGCTTTATAGAAGTAAATGGTAAAATATTTAAATGTAATTTTAAATATAATAAAAGATAATAAACGATATAGTATTACGGATTAATTAAAAGAAGGTATCCCAATGAAAAAATAGATCCTTTATGTCTTATAGAGGTTAATCAGATTAGTAATATTAATTATAAATCAAAATAGAAATAAATAAATGAAGTTAGATGATATCGACGTATCGTCAATTGACTAAAATTTATTCTTATCTAAGTAAGAGAATTTCTTATGATGAACATTTTTAAAAAAAGTAAAATAAAATCTTGGTGTTCAATAAGCGAAGATATAAATAAAGTAAGTATAAATTAAAAAATAGTAATAGACAAAATCAAATAATGTCAATAATATCAGTAATCAATGAAGAACAATTAAAATAAATTTCATTAACTCAATTATTATGTATATATGTATGTAAATATTTGAAATCTTAATCTTTGATTTTAAAATTAAACCGATTGTTAACACGTTAAAAATTATTTAATTGTATTATAATGTATTACATATATGTAATAATTAATAATAATATATAAAAGAAAAGAGATAATTGATTGTTTACAATATTTGTTTCAGTACTATCAAAAAACGAGAAGCTCGCATTTATTCTAAAGAAATTCAAATAACGAAAATATTTACGATATAACTGAGTGCAACTTGAAATACTTTAGAAATTGATTATATGAATATGATTATATGAATGATCTATTTCAAAATTAAAAGTTAATCTTATAAGTTAAAAATCTTAAATACCTTACATCGAGAATAGTTGAATAAAAAATAATTATAAATTAATATTTGTTATTTCACCGTATTATGCAATATTGAATTACGAACAAAAATTCTATTTGTAATTAAATATAATTGCATTATAAATTTTCGTGCAAGTTTTTTGTAATAAAATAACAATAAAGTAACAATATTAAATTTTTGACCAATTAATGTAATTAACTGTTGTTTTAATAATAATTTTACAAATGATGCGGCCAATAAAATCGCTATTAACAACATAAGTCAATGATGCATGTTAATAATCAAAAATTCAAAAAATTGTAAATACTGTGAATAATTAAAAAATAAATGAATACGTATAAAACACGCGTTCCATGCTTAAATATAAAAATTCGAGCTTCTTTCGATCAATCGTCGGATTAATTCTATTCAAACTTATTACAAATTCCACCTTTACCTTTTATTCAAACCTCTTTGAAATTTTAAATCGTTCCACTCGACACAATTTCAACCCTCCTCCTCTATCGCGAGTTCGATTAATATTATCACGGCCGTGCTTTAGATTAAATAAAACTTTTTCCATTTTACAATTGTATCAAAATTGAATTTGTCGATTTCCCCTATTTTTATACCTTTAAAATACGTGGATGAATTTTTCTTAAGCGAAAATTTATCTCTACTTTAACTTCGTTAAAAAAAAATAGATATAAGATGAAATATGAATGATTGTGATGAAATAAATTCATTTCTATTCAAATCATAATATAACCGATTAAAAATAAATAAAAAAAAAAAAAAAGATAAGAAATATATATAAAATACAAAATGTCGAAACTTGTTCTAAATTGATTAATTAATTAATTAAAACGAATATATCTACTCCGGTTCTTCAATTCATATTGCACGAGATGTCCACTATACAAATTTGTCTCGATTCATTTAAAAAAAATGAGAAGAAAAATGTAATATCACTTTTTATTAAATAAAATTTTTCTCAATCGTGAATAAAAAAGGAAAGAAAAATATAAAAACAAATTTTATCAAATATATACTATAGAAAATAAATTATATCGCTTATCAAACTGTCCATGATAAAATCGCGAAATGTAAATAAAGCAAATTAGTAAGATTTGTTTAAAAAAAACTCACCAATGGTGTCCATCGATTGGGCTTCCTCGTCGCTGGTTTCCATAGGGGTGGCGTGATTATCTTTTTTCTTTTCCTTCATCCTGTTCGTGGTTACCACGCTACCACCACTGACGTTGTTCGTCTCCCTGTAACATGATTTTTTTTTTCTTCTCTTATTACTCTTTAAATTTAACAATCCGTTCTATCTATTTTATAACAATAAATCTATTACTTAACAATTAATCTTCTTATCATTTGATAGAACTTTGTTTAATTATTGAATCGTTTTCAATTCAAATTTTATTAATTAAAATTGTTTGAATTTATTCAAAATTGTAAGAACAATTCATGCAAATTATCATTCATCAAGAAAATAATATAATATAATATGAAAGAAAAAATTGGTATAAATAAACCAATGATACAATTGAAATTAAGAAAATTAAAAATTTTCCATTTAAAAAATTTAATACGGTTATAATTTAATTTTGTTCTTTTTTCGTCATGCGTGGTGAAAAATTCGAAAAATTCTGTCCCTAGTTAAATAAAATTAAAAGAAAAAAGAAGAAAAAAAAATGTTTGTCCAAATTGTGAATACAATTTTGAGAAAATTAATAAAACGTTCTATATCGTCATTCCTAAACGAACGAGGGGAGTCCCTCGTTCCAATCTTCGCACGATTCGGAATCAGATTTTCAACGATCGACTCCATTTCGATGATGAATGCCTACGTAAACATAATCCACTAACCAGTAACCATTGATTAGCATTACAATCTGCTAATAACTACCCTGTCTTCCCTCTCGAACCTCCATTTTACCTTCTATTTCCCCCATCTGCTTTCCATTCATCCCCCCACTCCTTCCATCCTTCTCTCCACGCTTCAATAATTTATTCTTATTACTTTTTTTCTCTTCTATTCATTCATTATAAATTAAAAATTGTTTAAATTGTAAAAAAGTTAAATTAAAAAAAAGGTTATTAAATTATTGTAAAAATATTTATCTAAAAAAAAAAATTAAAGTTTTATATTTATTTGATCTATCTCTCGTCTATTAATAGTTTTGTTATATTAATCTGAAAATATATATAACTATAAAAATTTGATATAGTATGTTAAATTAAATTTGTGCATAAGTGTTCTATATACAATTTCTTATCTTTGTTATTAATCAAAATTATATTTATCAATTTTAATTTATTTATTATTTAAAAGTAAAAAGACTTTTCTTATATTGATAGTTTAATAACTTTTTGAACGAGTAATTTTTAGTCTGAATTCGAACGAATAATCTCTTGAAATATTTTTTAATATTTTTTAAATGTAGTAAGTAATAATTAGAATTGATCGTAAAACTGATTTGTTTGCTCGATGAATATCATTAGTAAAATGAAGCTCATTCAAGTAATCGAACTGTATGCTTTTATGTCAATTGCAATTTTTAAAATGACTTTATCCCTTTATATTCCTTTCAATTCGACAATTTTATATAAAAAATAAAAATCTGGAAAAAATTTAAAATTTTTTGATATATTAAAAAAAAAATTTTAACAAGATTATACAGATTTATACATGAAGAATTATATGTAATGCATTTATGAAAAAATTAATTATTTTAAACAATTAATTTAAGTTACTAATGATGATTATATGATGCTCTAAAACATGTAATATATATATTTATAATATATTATTTTATTAGGAAACCATTTTTATTTTTTATAGTCATTAATATAATTTTTATATAACATTATATTTTAAAACAATAAAATAGAAATATAACTAGTTGATCATTTGATCAATATGAAATTCTATTTTGAGACTTATAGTACCCAAACTTTTAACTGAAGTAGAAATAGAAACAGTTATTTAATCCGATGACCGATTCTGCGTATAAATTTATAACTAAAATAGTTTGCGTCCAAAATTCTAGTTAGTCTGAACAGAAAACCAAATGTAACTCTTATTATATTACGAAAGAAAATCAATTAATTTCATCGCTTTTATTATAGAAAAAAAATTATATTAAAGTTTTATTTTTATATGTTAATACTAATGTCAAAACTATAATTATTAAATAATATTATAAAAAAATATTGTAAAAATAAATCATTGAAATTGCTTTATTAATAATTTATTAAAAATTAAAATGTTTTTAATTCTATTTGCTCTTTTTTTCTATAAATAATTTTGGATATTTTATATTATAAACAAAAAAAATTAAAAATTACGGCTTTCAATTTTATAAATTTGTGCAAAATTATTAAAATCATCTATGCTATATAAATTATAATGCGTTATTATTGTTACCTTATTATTCAAAAAAAATATATCTTTTTCTTGAAAAACATAATAATAAATATTTTTGTTTAAATATCCAATTTTAGAAATAATAATTATTACATATAATTATAAATATTCAAAAATTTAATATATAAAACTAATATACAAAAGAAAAATTAACATTTTTAAATAAAATTAGTTTTTACTTTTTTTTGTTAGACTTTTTTAAAGTTTTAACCAAAAAATTAATGTTTTAAATATCATTAAAATTATATCTGATAATTAACATAATACTTCTATAAATAATAATACTTTTCAAATAATTTTGCACAATTTTATTAATTTATCGTGAGCAATTTTTTAATTTTGAATCATCAATTTTTTCAAATAATATAATAAATAATATAAATAATTAGCATTGCTTTTATATATCATATTTATATATATAAAATGGCTATATATTCGAATATTATAATTTTACTACTCGTAAAAAATTTATAAAGCCCTTGTGAATAAAATTATTATGAATTTATTTAAAAACTAATAAAATATACTAAATTTTTCTATACGTTTCCATGAAATAATATATCTTTAGAATTTTCTATAAATTTAATTAAAAATATTTATAATTAATAGAAAAAATATATTACGTACATTTTGATGTCCTTTCCTGATACCGTTTCCGAACTTAATTGTGGCTCTTCTTTCACTTCCACTTTGATAAGATGCGATTCTTTCGATTCTATTTTACTTTCTTTGTTTTCTTTATTGGTTTCTCTATTATCCTTCGCACTTGTTATCGTCGATGACGTCGTGACTGACGATGTCGTAGTACTCAACACAGATGTCGTTGTAGCTGTCGTTGATGCTATTACAGAGTCTGTCGTTAAACATATACTCGACGTTGATGAACTTAAAGGAGTCGTCGAAGTGGTGACTATTGTTGTCGCAACAGCCGTTGATACACTCGACGTTGTCGTAGTCGTCGTCGTCGTTGTAGTTGATGTCGCTGCCGAACTATTTTGAGGATTTTCTTGCGTCTTCTGCTGTTGCTCACGTTGCAACCTTGTCGTAACACCCGTAGTTAAAATATCTAAAGTTCCAATACTTGAACTGGTATTATTTACCTGAAAAAAAAACAATATAAAAGTTAATGTTATAATTTTATATCTGTCTACAATTGCAATAATTACATGTTCGTAAGAGAACGCAAAATTAATATATAGCAAAAGAGTAAAATGCGAATCTTTTAAATTTTATACACAAGTATTTCTTAATTTAAAATAGCAAGTAGAAAATAGTTGTAATTGAACTTACTTTATTATTAGGATTGTTTCGAGAACGTGTTCGTTGCCGCGACTTTCTCAAGAGCTGCTTATAGTTTTCTGCTTTTTTAGTGAGGTAGTAATGATGCACACAATCTGGAACGGACTTATGTTCTAAAGATTGAGCTATCGTTCCAAAGTTCTTAGGATGTTGTAAATATTTTTCTTTAAACAATTCGTGCTCTACAGAACTCCATACATTGATTAACTTCCGTTCACTATGAAGAGCTTCTAATTCTTCTGGCTGAAGAAGACCATTACGATTTTGAAACGCAATTCGTCTCTGCTTTGTATCCAATAGTAATGGAGGTATGACTGCGTAAGAACGCATCTTTTTATCTTCCATCTGGAAAAATAATTTAAAAAAGTAAGATACTATAGTTACAATTACAATAATTGTGTTGAATATTCGAAATATTCGAATAAATTTTAGATATGTATTTCTTAGATGTTGTAGATTGACGTGAAGTTGTAAATCATAATTACTATCCACGAATCTAATCATATCTAATTATTGATCACTTTCAATTAATATTGGAAGATTGTTTCAAAAATATCAAATCCAAATTAAAATATTATAAAAATCATTGAAATTCTTGAAAATTTATTATAACTAAGCTATTTTAATAATTTATAATATTTAATATGCACCTTTTTTATAATTAAATATATACTATATATAATACCTAAATCATTTTTATAGTAATATTGATTTTTTTAATTTTTCCCTCAACTCCTCTAATAACTCTTATGAACTTCCCTTTGATTTTCTTTTTTTAGTCTCTCATATAATTAGTTTTGCATTATAAAATGTCGATGTTATCATTAAAAAAAAACGATATACCTCTTGTTCTTGAAGGCCATCCATAATTTCTTCTAAATCAGCTTCACTCTTGATACGAGCACCAACTCTATTAAAACGTTCTTTATCTTCTCTTTGTTTTCGTAACTCTGGAAATACTTTTTCAAAAAATTCGCGATTCTTCGCTTCCTTCGACTTCCTTTTCTGCGTTGCTTCCAATCGCTCTACTTTACGATGCCACTCCTGTACCAAAATAGCGTACGTTTGTGACTGTTGTCGATGAAGAGATGCACGTTCAGCGTGTTCTCGTCGAAGCCTCGCTATAAGCCTTGCTCTCATACACGTTTGATGTTTTGTTCGATTTTCTTGATACACACTTGTATCTGATGGCTGATTGTACAAAGGTAATTCCACTTTTGGACCCAGCCTCTCTAGAAGTCTATGAGCTTCTTCTGCTTTTCTCTGTAATTAACATATAAGTTATTAAATCACGCAATAAAAAAATCTTTATAATCTATTATAATTTATAAAATCAACTTTTTTTAAGTCTCAATTTTAATCCAAGATCGCATATAATTTAAAATGTTTATCTAATACTGATGACGCATCATACATACATTGAAAAATTATAATATTATCAGCAATCAAAAAGTCATTAAAAGTCAAGAGATAACATCAAACGAAAGTATATAAAAATTAAAACACAAAAAGATTAATTTAATAGAAATTAAGTTAAATCAATTAAGATTAAGTTAAATAAATTACTAAATTATTTCTTATTTTATCATTTCTAAATTAAAAATGTATTCAGTAAAAAACAAATTATTTTTTCTTTAAATATGTTACTTATAAATTTGTGATGAATCATTCTATTTTATTCAATACCCTGAAGTCATATCCGCTAATAAATTAACTCATCTTTTTCAATTATAAGTTAATTCGATACAATATATAAACTATAATTTATATAAGTTATGTATAGTTAATTTAAATTAAATATAAAATTTATAAGATTTTACCCTATTTTCAGCATAAATTTTTTGTGCCAGAGATTGATGCTTTGGTTGCTGAGACTGTTCCTCAACTTGCCGTTTAAGACCGCTAGCTTCCAGAGGTTTATTAGCCGCTTCTTCCAATTCTTTTAATTTTTTCCGAAGCTTATTTATCTGAGATTCCCTTTTTGCAATCTCCCTATCAACCTTAGAAATTTGTTGCAGAAGATCATCTTTCGTGCTTCTGAACTGTGCATCTTCTTGTGTGTTTGGTTCCGGAAGCGTAGGCGAAATGGCTTCAGTTTGCGGTGTATACGCTTCTGTTGCCGGCTGCTCCTAGCAAAAATTTTTCATATAATACTGTACCAAACTAATATTAAAATCATGAATAATAAAAATCTTTATTAATTTCAATACAAGTATATACGCATTTGTTTCAAATATATACTTAATACTTAAATTGCTTATTGCTTAAATATATTATTATTATTTTTCTCATTTTTTTAAAAACACAAAAATTATTGACATAAGTAAATATGTAACGCAATAATTAATGTTAAATACTTCCATTGCCAATAATAAAATTAATAATAGTTTTGTTGCCAATAATAAAATTCATATTCATATGATGACTTTCTTTTCAAACAATTTTCAAAATTATTTTTTTCAAAATTATTTCAAAACAATTTTTGTCAGATGTCATATTTATTCTGAATCATATTTTGTACGCGTGTACCTATGTACCCACCCTAGTATCTATCCTAAGCGGTTGCTGCAACTGCACCACGTGCTCCTGCTTAACACACGGATCAGCGGGTGACAAACTATGACAACGAGATTGCGTTTGGGACTGCAATTGAATCTGGGTCGGTTGACTGAGGCGTATTTTCTTGAAGGGCGGCGCCTCCTGCAGATTAGCCATTTCAACGGCTGTACGATTGCAATACTGATCCGGCTGGACGGGCATCAGGGCTATTCGTGAATTTCTAACTCCAGACATGTTATGTTGATAGCCTGGTGCTGTTGGTGAAGGTGTCGGCGTTACCGAAGCAGGTGGTAAAAGAGATATCCTCGGTCTCTCTCCTCTTCCACTACTTATACCGCTATTTGCCGCATATTCGGCTGCAACTACTCCAACATCGACTCCAATCTGCGACAAAGGACTACTGCTCACGCTGATGGCAATCCTCTCGTTCACCTAAAAGATACTACAATAAAAATCTATCCTTTCTTTTTACATTCATTTTATGTGTGCATTTCTCTATTCTATTTTTATCCTCATCTTGTTTGATTCAAATATATTTATGTGTTCTAATGCTTTTTTCGTCGTGCGTTTTATTCAATTTATCTTGCCTAACCTTCTCTTGTAAACCTATTTCAAGAAAATCGATGACCCGGTTCAAGAGGGCAGACGGTAGACTATCTATATACCTAGAACCGTCATACGTTCCTTGCACTCGTATTATGAATAAAACTTGCTTTTAGTTTTTTCATCTTTCTTTCTCTCGCTCTCTACTACTCGTCTTGCTTACATTGCATCTTAAGATCATAATCTTACACCCAAACAGATAACTATATATGACTTCTTACTGCCGTTTATCAAATTTTACTTAACAATGTATATATAACGTTGAATATTATTCACTTCAAAAAAGATAATTGATATAATGTATTATTAATTGAATATGTAAATAAATTAAATCATCAGAAATAATGAATAAAAATTTTCAAATTTGAAAATCATTTTATCACTTCTCTTGAAATTACCTTTCTTTATATCATAAAAATGGTAAAAAGTATGTTAAGTAAATAATCTGTTTTTTCTAATAGATTTCATTATGTATTTTTATACTACTACATATTTTCAAAATATAATTTCATCAATTAAAAAATCGAACTTCAAATTGAATTAGAAATTATATAACAATATAAATATTTGTTACACAATACATATCTCTAATTCGGATTAAATTGTTAAAAATAATTCTACTGTTAAAAATAAATAAAACAAAATTTTTAATAGAATTATTTAAAAAACTATCTCATCAGATTCCTGAATTTTGATATCGTAGTAAAATTAATTCAAAATTGTACAAGGTTTGCAATAGAGAAAGTAGATTATATTATGATGTGAAAAGAGAACGGGAGAGGGCTAATAGTAGTTGAAAGTCAAGGGCAGAACACATACAATATACACGTTTCTACGTACAATATAACGCGTACCAAATATTCGATTAACTACAAAAGAGTACTATATAATATACATTTACAAATACTGGCTACTTATATGTATATGTATTAAATTAATGTGTTTAACTTTCTCTGCAATATACAATCGGTATGAAAAATATTTTTACAGCGATCATTTTAAAATAAAATTTTATATATCTATATCTATAATAAATTTTAACAAAAAAGAAAAAGAATTCATTAATAAATGTTTTTGGATGTTTAAAGAACTCATTATACTCGTTCTTAATATTTATAAAAATATTAACAAAAATAGAAAAATATGCAAAAATAAACGTGTAGAAAGTATTCGTTCAAGAAATAACAAATTATGAAAATAAACTAAATATTTAATATTATATATAAAATATTTCATTTTAAATTTTTGTACGAATATTTTCTGTACGATGATTTCTATTTTTCTATTTATGATTCTTATGAAATGAAAGCAAGAGAGAGTACAAGATGAGGGTGCGACGATTTATCATGGGATAAATCGAAGAGAAAAATACCTACATTCGTGGTGGCGCTGCGATATGCATCTCTCGCGGCATAAGCAGTTCCCGAAAGCGATGGTGGTGGCGTTTGACTAACTGTAGGTGGATTGACAGGCGCAGCTGCGGGTGCTGGAACTGGCACTGGAGTCGGTGCCGACGAGGCTGAGGTAACCATTGTCGCTA